TGAATTGAACTGAATTGAAATTAGAGGCCTGTGAAGTTGTACACATTTGTTTTCTTCTAGGATATACTGAGCCTCAAATGGATATGGTATATGGTAGATATCAAATGTAATGTTTTATCAAGCAAATATTAATCAGATGGATCAAAACATGTCATAAATATCATTTATGATCATGATAATCATTGTGTGATGGTGATCACTTAGCATGAAACTGTTGACTTAAGTTTATTGTCCAGGAAATGTGAAAGAAAGTCACAATTACTGTTTTCTTAATAGCATTGGTTTGTAATGTGCCAGTGTTATATCTGTTGACTCAGTAGTATTTAATGCCTCTGTGCAGCTTGCTTTGCAGTTCCACTGCTGGCCACAACAAGGCACTCCATACCATCCCTGTGCCTTTAATCCAGTCTGAGGGCGCTGTAGCATCTTCTGTGTGTGAGCAAATTAGGCAGCTTAGGAGGGCCAGTGGTCCTACATTTGGCTGTGCAAAGCTTCTTTACTGGGACATTGGTACTTAATCCTCACAGCTCTGATCATTATAGCTGATGAGAGAGAGAGAGAGAGAGAGAGCGCTCTGCTTTATCTCATGCATCCACCTTTGCCTTTACAACAGACACACATCTCAACCTAATCACAGATATAAGCTGCAGATCTTCAGGCTTCAGGTTTTGTTCTCGTTCATCATTACAACTGTGGATTAGAACAGGTTTGTGTAATTTAACACATGCAGCATGAGTGAGTTTCTAGTATCTAATGTCTCTTTTTGCTAATTAATATCATGCCTTAATATATTTAAGTGTAAAAATATAAACACATGTCAGTTATTGTATATCTCAAAAGATAATCAGAAAAACTCACCGCATATATTGATATATATATTGATCATTTTTAGATAACTCTATTCTTACAACAAATTATTTTCCTTATTGAAAAATCTGTCCGTTTCTTTCCTGAGTCATTGATAAATCATTCAGTCTGTAAAAGGATATAAAATAGTGACAAATGTGCATCACAATTTTGCAGAGCCCAAGCTGTCATCTTTAACTGTCTTATTTTGTCCCAAACTCAAAGATATTCACTTTACACTGATATCAATAACAGAAACGCAGCAAATACTCACATTTAAGTAACTGGAATCAGTCGTTGTTTTGTGTTTTGTGTTTTTATTAATCGACAAATCATTTCAGCATTATTGCTGGACACTAAGGTGTTTTGGCACAAATTGAATACATCTTATAATTCCTTAAATCATACAATCTACAGTCCACAGGAAAACAACTACACCTATACACCTAGAGGAAAAAGAATAAAGATCCACAAGACAAACAGCAAAATAAGACAAAAACTTTAATAGAAAACAATAAAAGATGTATTTTGAAAACTTAAATGAAATAATTAAGAAATTAAAATGTTATATTCTTCAGTCAAGTCTTCAAGTCAAGTTTTGAACAACTTGGTACAATCGAAGCCAGTAATGTCCTGAAGATTTAAGGGGAACATACAACAGTTAAAATATTAGTTGGACACTTTGGAAAATACACTTATTTGCTTCACAGAGTAAGGTGAGAAAATCGATACTACTTTCACATCTGTACAGTGAAGATGAAGCTACTGCCAGCTGCTCGTTAGATTACCTTGCTTAGCATAAAGACTTGAAACATGGGGAAACAGCTAGCCTGGTTCAGTCAACACAATCCACCTAGCAGCACCTCTGAAGCTCACTAATCAACATGTTTATCTTATAGTTCTTACAAAACTGTAAAAATGTCAAGTGGTGTCTTATAGTTTGACAGAGCCAGGTTAGTTGTTTACAGTCTTTATGCTAAGCTGAGCTAGGCATTATATTTACTGTACAAATATGAAAGTATCAAGTATCAATCTTCTCAGCAAAAAAGCGAATCAGCGTGTTTCCCAAAATGTCAAACTATTCTTTTAAAGTGAGAGCAACAGAAAATGTGTTTGAATCACAGTCACCACATCTTTGTATATTCCTTCTCATTACATCTCCACAAATTACATTTTACATCATAATGTACTGGATTACATTTAGGAATGAGTATATGGTCTATTGTGAAGTCTTGAATTAGCAATATTGCCTGTTTGAGTGACCTTTTACTGTGTCACACAGGGCAGTGGTGAGCAGCCCCACAGACAGTCCCAATCACTATAATGCCGATCGGAGATTTGCTGAATCTGTTAGCGTTTCCCTGTGATATCGGCTGCAGTGTAATTACAGCACAGGCATGACCGAGCTGGATGAGCGGCAAATGGGGATTACATAGGGGCAGGTCATAATGATCAGGCCGGCCACATGTTTCTGAGGCAAATCTCATTTTAATATCCAGTCTACCATACTGTTTTATTAGCAGAGTGGCTGAGGTCAATTAGCTTTTAGTTCAGTGCATTCAAATATTTAAATTGACATAATGCAGCTTGCTTTTATGATTTAAATTAGACCAAAGGGAAAATTTAAAGATTTTTAAAGATTTTTATGATTTTGTATTTTAAAGAAGATCTCTTGTTTATTCTTTGTCGGTCTTTGTGTTTCCTCTCTCTGCATAGCAGGGATTGACATATAGTTAGCATGTTCTTCATAACAAGCTACTTCCCTGTCTCTCCCTCTGCCAGAACTGTCAACCCCCTAACAAGGTGTACATATTCACAGCTGCTACTGCAGGAGAGGAGCCCAAATGAGGAGTGCCTGGATAAGATGAGAGGGACGAGCCAGACAACAGGTGCGTGGGTACATCACTGCTCATTCACTGCTACCA